AGTTTTCTGATTTGGTCACACCAGGTGTGAGTTAAGGGGCACCAACATGATTATCCTTAGAGTTCTTTGACTTGGTGATCTCAAACCTAGGTTGAATGACTCCAAGCATGATTAAGGTAGTAGCTCTCAGCCTAGACGACATTGAGCGCTAGTTTTGTGGCAACGGGCGTAGTGTAGTCAAAGTCTCCTTATATAATTCACATCAAGCACAAGTGGTATGGTGTCGGATGTGGGCGAGCCAAAAGCTCTTTGCCTCACCAACATCGAGTGTAGGTTGAATTACGCTGAGTATGGTTCTATTGAAGAAAAAATATAACTTCATTGGTTTTTTTAAAGGTTGAAGCTTAATGACGGATAACTTGTTGAGGAATTAATATGGATAATTATGTATTGATTTTGATTGTTATATTATGATGTCTAAGTTAATTGCAATTTAAGATTTTATGAAGTAGAGTGCTATCTTGATAAAATGATTTGTATATTGTTGAAAGAAGTTGTGTTGTGAAATGTTTGAAACATATAGTTGTATTGGGTTGATTAACTTATGTAGAGGAGAGGTTTCATTTTAAAAAGATGAAAATCTCATTGTGAGGATATGTGTTGTGGTACTATGATAGTCCAGTTTTTGAAAAACCCTCATTGAGTATAATTGTCACTTGTAATGGAGTGTTAAGTCTTGTTTAGATCTTGCTTGGGGTAAGGTTGAGTCATACTGGTTTGGAAGTGACCAACTTAGTAAGGCACAAGGTTAAGGGTCAAAATCCTAACTAAGTATTAGAAGGGACACAATATTTGAAGGGTAGTCGACAAACTAATTCTATATAGGCAATTAGTTATGCATGTTGAAGCCATGGTAGACTTACACCTAAGTTGTTCTATCCTTGACAAGAATATTGGACTTTCCTAGCCTAAGTGATGGAATCTAAGAAATCATATTGTGTTATGAATTGATAACCAAATTCATTGTTGATTTAACAAGTCCAAAAAAATTGCATTGTTAAGTTGACTTAGTAGGGTCAAACCACTTAGACTACTCACTTGTTTTGTGAGAGATCTCTTAGTTGAAATATTTGACAATGCATTGTGTTGTTGTGTTACAGTGTTATTATAAGTTGAAATGTTGTTAAGTGGTATTGTGTTGAAAATTGATATATATTGTTATGTTGGAGTGTTGCTTAAGTTGTTGTGATGTTAAGTAGTTATACTATGAGTTAATGTTGTTCGATCACTTGTGTTGTAAAGTTGAATATTTATATACCTATGTTGTATGTTGATGTGTTTTGTTGGACATTTAGTCATCTCTATGTCAAAATGTTATATTGCATAGTGTTGAAATGATATTATTGATAGTATAGTTGTATTTTACTTCTTTATTATCTTTTTTTTTTTAAGCTTGCCCTTGCATTTTTCCTTATTGTTAGACTATGATGATTACATTTATATGAGAATAGGATATGAATAGGTTGGAAGACGAGGAAGTTTTTAAGAGCCATGTTGGAGATGATGATGTTGTTTGGGCTACTCTAATGTAATTGGTTTATAGTAGTTGCTTAACAACAACCTAGATTTATGTTTTAGTCTAGATTATTACATATATGTATATGTATAGTTTTCAATTATAGTCCCATTGATAGATTTATATTATGATTTCAATTGATAAGTTTAATACACACACACACATTACTATATGTATATTTAGGGACTGTTTGAATGGTAAATCCTAGGAAGTTAAGTTTCTATTTTTCGCTACTTATATTTTAAGTTGTAAAGTATAGAGACTTGACAAGTTGTTACATGTCACAAACATTCTTCATTGGAGATGCCGCATAGTAAATTAAAAACTTTATGGTGATAAGAATTTTCATTAAAACATTAAAAATTATAAATGTTTTCAAAAATTTTAATTTTGATAATGTTATTAATTTAATTAATATTCTGTAAAAAAAATTATTTTTTTCTTGTTGTAACACTGTGAATTTTATTAATAATTGTTGATTGTAGTAATTTAATTGTTGATTTTATTAATTTAATTGTTGATGTTTTTAGTTCTTTAGTAGTTGTAAAACTCTAAGAGTTAAGAAATTCTTATGAGTATAGTGTCTAGTAATTGTTTTGAGTCAAAGTCAAAATTGACTAAGTTTCAAAAAAGGTATATAAGGTTTTCCTTAAGATTTGAATTCCATAAGTTCATTTTTTAAGAAACTTAGAGAGAGGTAAGAAATAAAAGTTATGGAGTCATAAGAGAACCATCTTTACTTCCAAATTCACGGATTTCTCCCATCCTTCCCCTAAGCATATATTGAGTAGCTGTGTAAAGATTCAAAGCTTTTAGAATAGAGGATCAGAGACTTGAATTCATCATCCAAAGTTCTTAGAGGATCCTGTTTTTCCTTTCTTCTACCTCTTTTCTAGACAATTTGAGGTAAGGGAAGCTCTTGGATGTTCTTTGTTGAATTGTCGCTTGAATTATACATGTTTATGGTTGTGTTGTTGTTGATTCAAGAAGTAGTTTCTTATTCTTGGGGTTTTGGTGTTTTGGAGAAGAATTGGTGAATTTGAATTATGTAGTGATTATGTTGTATATCTTGATGAAACTGAGTTGAGTAGGTCGTCGTTGTGTAGAATTACTTATTATTGCATGTTGGTTGTGGCTAATTTTCAGATGGTTTGGAGCAAAAATGTGATTTTACCAAGTGCATAATTAACCATCATGTCAGGTGCAACTTCATAACATCGGTTGTGATACAGGCTAAAGACTCTCTACCTCAATGGCATCGTGCATGACATTGGTAGTGTTGGATGTGAGTTAAAAGAGAACTATTTGACTTGGTCAAACTAGGTATGGTTGAGGGGATTTTGGCTTGGTCGCCTTGAGAGTTCTCTAGCATGATGACATTAGACCCTAGTTAAGTGACCTCAAATATGATCAAGGTAGTAGCTTTTCGCCTAGATAACACCAAGTGCATGTTGAATGACACTAGGCGTTAGTCAAGCAAAGACTCTCTGTCTAAATATAGTCAAATTTAGGTATACCTATGTCAGGCGTTATTATCACAAGAGCTCTCTATCTTATCCACACTAGGTACACTAGGTGTAGGTGATTTTGCACCGGGCATGGACGAGCTAGAGACTCTCTACCTCAATGATACCAAGCAAAGGAAGAATGACATCAGACATGAGTTACTAAATGAAAACTTGTTTAATTGACTAAGTGTTGAACATGTGATTAATAGGTTGATTACTCACATGATTTGTGTTGATATATGATTATAGTTCATTTTGCATTGATTTGAAATAATGTATAATGATATTTAAGTTGCTTAAAGTTGTAAGTTGATTATGAATGGAAGCTGAACTATAGTATAGTCATATGTAATGTAATGGTAAAATTAGTTGTGTTGTGAATGCTTGTAACACAAAATTGAGTTGTGTTGATTTACTTAAAACTAGAGAAAATATGTTATTTTAAAAAATGAATATCCTTTTTTGAGGATATGACATTATGATGCTCAACGAATCCAATTTTTGAAAGCTTTTATTAAATATTGTTATAGTTATCTCTTTAAATGGAGTATTAATTCTGAAAAAATGGTAGGAGATTTTTTGAATAGTATGTTTTCTAATTTTTAAGTAAACATTAAATATCAGTATTATTCTGTCGATAAATAAATAAATATCAGCATTAATATGTATTTCATGTATTACATTATAATTTAAATGAATATAAATAATTAAAATTTTTTAAACTGGTTTAAAAAAAAAAAAACATTAATAACAAGATATTTTTATATGTCAATCAAAAGGAGCGGATCCCTCGGTGCTTTAACAATACGCTCCAAGCACTCGCGTCGCGTGAATCGCGAGGAGGAGGCAAAAATCTTTTTAAATTTGTTCGATTCAAGTGTGGACTCAGGGCCTATTATTAATTGAGGAGCAACCATCTATTATTTCTATGTATCTTTCCTTCTAAGTTGTAACTCTCCTTATTTTTATCAAATAGCTTAAAAATAAAATAAAGAAGAAAAATATATGACATATGATAGTGAAAATAAGAAGGTTTGAAAAAATATAAAATGATATAAAGAGATACTCTTATAATTAATTATTTAAAGGAAAAATATTTCAAATAAAAAATAATAACTTATAAATAAAGTTATTTTCAAAATTTATTTCAAATAATTTATCAAATCAATCTCTATATGTATATATTATTTTGTAGGATAATATGTTCATGGACTTTTCTGAAAATAGGATTCGTAGTATTTTTTATTTATTTAAAATTTTCCATCTTATTTAATTTTTATATATCATAATTATTTATAAATAAAATATTAATATTTGAAAATAATTTATCAATAAAAAAATAATTTTTTATAATAAAAATAATTTATTATAAATCTAAAATATAATATTTATTTATTAAAAAAATAATTATATATAATAAATATTACATGTCTATTGGTAATGGTTAAAATATTAGTTAAAGTAAAAATTAGTAAAATAAAAGAAGTTATTATTATTATTTTTCATGAAAGTAAGTTATCTGGTAATAATTAGTGTGGGCGATTGGTGTTGTGCGCGTGAAACAAGTGAGGGAATTGTTGGGGCATGTGGATTGGGCCAGCCAATTCCCCATTCAATGGATACTTTTCTCTTCTCTAATACATCTTCTTTCCATTCTAACTAAACTCTCCTCACTCTCACCTCACCTATCTAGTATCTACCAACCCCTGTTACAATTTCTTCCCCTTTTTCTCCATTTTTTCTAAACGTTAAGTTATGAATCCTATATCTATTTATTAATAATTAATAATTAATAATTAATAATTAATAATTAATAATTAAAGAAATCAGTAATTCAGCAAGCCTTACGGATATTTGCTACCTAATCACAATCGATTATTTCAATTATTATTAAATTAATTTAATTTAATATAATGTAATCTAATCCAACCCCTGCCTGGCCCCTATCTGTCTTTATAAGGTCCACGTTCACTGCACCTTTTCTCCACTCTCACCCTTCTCTTCTCTTCTCTTCTCTTCTCTCAAACAAAATGGCTTCTATTACATCAACAAACATGGCCATGCTGCTGCTGTTGGCGCTCTTCGCGCTTTCATCGGCCTCGGACATGTCCATAATCTCGTACGACAAGGGCCACGCCGACAAGGGCAGGTGGCGGAGCGACGAGGAAGTGATGTCGTTGTACGAGCAGTGGGTGATGAAGCACGGCAAGGCCTACAACGCCCTCGGGGAGAAGGAGAAGAGGTTCCAGGTCTTCAAGGACAACCTCCGCTTCATCGATCTCCACAACTCCGCTAACCGAACCTACCGCCTCGGACTCAACCGCTTCGCGGATCTCACCAACCAAGAGTACCGTGCCCGCTATTTGGGAGTTAAGATCGACCCCAACCGGAGGATGCTCAAGGGCAGGACCCCGAGCAACCGTTACGCGCCACGTGTCGGGGACAAGCTACCTGATAGCGTTGATTGGAGGAAGGAAGGTGCTGTTGTACCAATTAAAGATCAAGGAAGCTGTGGTAACTACTATCACTCTCTCTTTACTCTTCGCTCTTACGCACTTTTTTTATCCCCCATTTTTCTTTTCTATTATACACAAAGTTTAATTCTTTACCTCTTTTTCAATTAATCTCGGTCGATTTATTTTTATTTTGTTTTTTAAATTATTTTTTAGAGTTTATCTGCGATTTATTGATTACTGTTGCTTAATCATCTACTTGATCTATTCATATCTGAAGAAAAAAAATCTGTAAAATAAGAGCCCCTAGTTTCCCCCCTTTTCGATAAAAAAAAGGGTAAAAAGTTAAATCCTTTATATTTTCTTTTAATTAATCATCGTCGATCATTTTTAGTTTTTTTTTTGGATGAATTTTGTGTTTATTATTGTTAGTAAATTACGGGTTTTATCTGTGATTAATGGCTTTGCTGTTGGTTGACCATCCACATGATGTGTCAATATCTGGGAAAAAATATCTAGAATAAATTTTAATGTTTTATTTTTTTATTTTGGTGCTGGGAAAAGTGGTTGTGTTTCTTAGATTTGAAACTTCTATGCGAGGCTTTCATTTTGAGAACCTCTAACCCCGTCTTTGTCTCTACGATTATATTGTAGAATAAGGATTACAAAAGTAGCATGATGTTGATATATCATATATGATATCTCTTCCGGTTAACGTTATCAGGATTCTGGGTTTGGTCGAATATAGTTGAGAAAATACCTAGATATTTAAATGGTTTGCGCCTATGTGGACACATCTTATTCAGATTCTTCGGGAACCATGAATGCTTAACGTACCAAACACTACTGTGATTCGTTGGACTTGTTTACCTTTTTTTTTAAAAAACCTTTTGTTGTTTAAGAATAATAAATAATCTTTATTTCTGAACCTAAGTAAACAGGCAATGATAAAATATTTCCTTTAGTCTAGGATGAACTGAGTCTTGGATTTCTACAGAGCAAGCAGTAGAATAGTTCATCGGTTTTTATAGTTGTATTCTTACAATTTTAATGAGTCTGTGGCAGTGATCTGAGTATAAAGAACCTATATTTGTTATTCTATTTCAAAAATTTGTTTAATGTTTGATTTTGTTTTTGGAATGAAGGGAGCTGTTGGGCATTCTCTGCAATTTCTGCGGTGGAAGGAATAAATAAGATTGTAACAGGCGATCTGATTTCATTATCAGAACAAGAGTTGGTGGATTGTGATATATCATATAATCAAGGATGTAATGGAGGACTTATGGACTACGCCTTTGACTTCATCATCAATAATGGAGGGATCGACTCTGAAGAGGATTACCCTTACGAAGGTGTTGATGGTAGATGTGACAATTACAGGGTTAGTAACCAAGTCCTGAATCCTGATTATTTGATGATAAAAATACTCATCACTCTAATTTTTGTATTCATGTTTTTATTTTTGTTATTTTCCTTGTTTGCAGAAAAATGCTAAAGTTGTTACTATTGATAGCTACGAAGATGTTCCTGCCTACGATGAGATAGCCTTGAAAAAGGCTGTTGCAAATCAGCCCGTGGCAGTAGCTATTGAAGGAGGGGGCAGGGAATTTCAATTATATGTATCTGTAAGTTTCTTAATTAATTTTATTCATGAACTAGAAAAAGAAAGGCGTGGCTATTGCATAGTAGTAGAATGGGAAGATTCAAAATTATCAAAGCATATATTATATCTAATAGTCCTTTGTGAATTTCTTATATCATGTTTTGAGCATTGTTTCATCCCCTAAACGTGGGGCTTAGATTACCTAAATGGAATTGGGAGTGTGCATAAATCAATTATATTTTTGATGCTTCAACTCATAAGCAAGTTTGAGTTGAAGTAAAAGAAAATGTAGTTTTTGCATCGAGTTAAAATCCACTTGTTTTATAACTCAATTTTAATGAAGATTCATTTTTGCAAAACTAAGAGCAAATTTGCAACTGCTCACTCAAGTAAGCTAATTGGCCCATTATTCAATTTTTTTATCTTTTTCATTTGTTCTCATTGTTATCATTTAAAGCTGATAAAAATCAATATATCATATGTTCATTAATCATGTATGTGATAATTGGTTTAACTCTGGCTAATTGGCAATATCATACAAATCATTCTCTACAGTGTATTTAATTTGTATTGACATAAGTTTCTTATTAGTATATTTAATCTCTTGTCAGGGTGTATTTACCGGTAGATGTGGAACAGCATTAGATCATGGTGTCGTGGCTGTTGGATATGGTACAGATAAGGGTAAAGATTATTGGATCGTAAGGAATTCATGGGGTCCTAGCTGGGGAGAGGATGGGTATGTCAGATTAGAGAGAAACCTGGTTTCAGCTAGATCAGGCAAGTGTGGAATTGCAATTGAGCCATCTTATCCCATTAAGAAAGGTCCAAATCCCCCTAATCCCGGACCATCACCCCCTTCACCCGTGAGCCCACCAAATGTTTGTGACAATTACTATAGCTGTGCCGATAGTGCCACTTGTTGCTGTATTTTCCCATATGGAAATTACTGCTTCGAGTGGGGTTGCTGCCCTCTTGAAGGTGCTACCTGCTGTGAAGACAACTACAGTTGCTGCCCTCATGATTATCCAGTCTGTGACATTTATCGTGGTGTTTGTCTGAAGGTATGGCTAAGACTATCTAATATTTTCCATCTGGTTGCATTTTAAACTTAAACTGAATTTTAAGGTGGAACTAATCATTGTCTACTATTTTAGATTTTTGTGGTTTGATTAAGTCCATTTGTGTAGTTCTTTTCATACTCAAATGATTATGAGTCTGTTTGGATATAAGTTTAAAAATGTTTTTGAGAGTTTTATATTAGAAAATACTCTTTATTTTTAGTAGAATAATTTTCAAAATCGTTTTAACTTGTATTCAAATAGACTCTATATAGAGCAAATTATGCTTAGAACTTGTTTGGTTACAAACTTAAAAGTACTTTTGAAAGGTTTTTTTCTAATGAAAATAAAGATTTCTTAGTAATTGTCCAAATAGTGAAGGAGTAGAAGATGGAGAGACATGGACAGAAATTTTATGGAACTTAAGGGGTGTCGGTGTAATTCAGTCATGATTTTATAAATTGTTTTCTCTGTTATTGATTTGAATTTTCTGTGGATGACAGAGTAAGAACAATCCAATTGGAGTGAAGGCATTGAGGCGTACTCCAGCTAAACCCCATTGGGCCTTTGGAGATACTAACAAGGTCAGCAGTGCTTAAGCAGTTAAAGGGAATGTGTACGTGCAGAAGGAGCCGATGCTGAAGTAAAGGGAAGATGAAGGACTGAAACACTATCCGATACACTTCTCCTTTAACTTTCTCATATGCTGCACATAACTTACAGTTCATTGCCATTTTATTAAGATGCAAACATAAGTATTCTGCATCAAATTTCAGTCAGACATTGGCTTTGTACATAGGGTTATATTATTTATGGACTGTATTTGTATTCAAATTCCAAATGGCGAACTTATTTGGTTGCTGTTAGTTTCCAACTTCTGTAGATTATTCTATAATGCAGCAATGCTTGGATTTATCCCATATTCAAATGCTATTTTAGTTACAATGTGGAGTACAACGGACCCCTTCCTTATGCTTTTTTGTTGCAATGCATTCTGTGTTCAGTTTAGCTGCTTAAGTTGTGAGGATTTTTCGATTGGTGGAATTGATACAGTAACAAATAGAGTGGGCTAAAGCGATAATTTAAGTAGGACATGCGAGTTTTAGAGTTGATTTCATGCATAATTTAATAATATAGTAATGTTATTATTTTTATATATAAAATAATTAATATAATATGTTATGTATAATTTATTTTTATTTTTTAATTTATAGTATATTATATGAGCAATACTTTTTTTTAAAAAAATATTGTTTGTATTTTTTAATCAAATAGTTTACTTCTAAGATTGTATTTGAAGAATAATTATATTTTTTTGCTAAATAAAATCTTTACAATTTATTTAAACACTTTGCAGTTTATTTTTACTATATTACCTTTGTCTTTAGAGACAAAATCACTGCTTGTAATATAGTTAAAAAATATAAATAATATTATAATAGATCAAAATGAATGAATTAAAATGTAAAATTATCATTAAAAATATTAAAAGTACATTAATAGTGTCAAATATTATAATATTATTAAAAAAGTATAATTATTAAAAATAAATTAACAAAATTATGAATAATATTATATTAAAAGTTACTATTGTTAATAAATTATAAAAGTAAGTTATATTTAATTACTTTATTTTACTTAATTAAATTATACATGTAAAAAATAATTATTTTAATTTAAAATTCTTTGTAACCTTAATAGATATTTTTTAAATTATTTTAGTACTGAACTAAATATAGCTAACATCTAATGATAAGGCCCAAGACAGAACAATAAAAAAATGTTAAAGATCTAAAATAATAAATTTGTCCGGTCCCGACATGGGCTAATATAAAAAATTAAAAAAACTCGATAAAATAATAAGATAATAATTTTTCGGGAAATCTCTTTATAATTTTCGGTCCCAAGAAAATCATAAATTAATAATTCATAGAAACTGAAAAAAAATATATTACACTTTATTGAAATATGATTCAATAGTTGTCTGTTTTCCTTTAAAGTTCAAGTCTATTTGGAGTTCATCTCTAACTTTTTTTATTGCATCCAATAGCTCAGGTGTTTTATTTTTGTATTGTATCATAAAGTTGTGAAGAGTGTTTGGTATGTACAGTATAATTACTTAAAAACTCTTTAAATTAATAATTATTAATTTATCGATAAATTAATAACTCTCTAAATTAATAAATTTTTTAAAGAGTTTCTACTGTATTTGATTAAAGAGATAATAGGAAGAAAAAAAAGGAAATAGTTAATTTTTGGAAATTAAAAAGAAATTTTTTTTCACCTCTTCTTTAATTCAAATTTGAATTGTTTTTCTTTTTAATATATTTTTTAATTCAAATTTTATTTTCGCTCTTATTTGCTTCAACTCAATCAATCAGACCCTAGTAGTAATTTTAGAATGACTTATTTTTAGTAGATAGAAATTATTAAGAAGTGTAAAATTGAAAATTTTGAGCGTGAAAATTTTCTTTGCTTTAAACTGGAATGCTATCTTTTATACTGAATTTTGAACTAAAAAAAAATTGTTTCTTGTAATTTGTAAGTTTATCAAATAGGTAGGTATTTATCTTTCAATGCGTCTACTATCTGTTGTCATCTGCTTTTGAATTTGGTGTTGCGTATTTTTCATACCCTTCCTTCATTCACACATTTTCATCCACATATTTATATATTCTATCTCATTTTCTCTCCACGTTCACACATTTCAGTTAATGGGAAAAAAAGTAAAATAATATTTGCATACTTAATAAAGTAATTTTTAATTCTATCTCTATGACTAATGAGTATAGGAATTCTACCTCTATGACTAATAAGTATAATAAAAGGATTAATCATGATAAATAAAGTTTGAATTTTTATTAATAGAGGTGACTACATTTAGTGTCCAATAATATTTTAAATAGAATTGTCTAAAAAAATATACACAAGAATTTTTTTTAATCTAAATTATTAAAAAATTAAATATATTAGTGAGCTACCTTTTATTTTTCTCCCTCTTCCCTTTATCCGACAATCTACCATGTTCTTCCTTAATAAAAAAAATAAAAATAAAAATAGAAGGTATCCTGATTTAGTTTTATAATTCATATATTAAATTAGAATACTTATCTTGAATAAAAATATTTTAGAATATTTTTGGTTAATTAATATTTTTTTTATAGGAGTTAATTTTTTATTAATGAAAGTGTTCTTGTTTTTAAAATTTTCATAACATCTTTAGTATAATATATTTTTTTCATTTACTGATGAAAAATATATATCAATCTTATTATTTAAAATAAATTTAAAGATTAAATATTTTTTAATCTTTGTATAATAAATAAAATTTTTATTTTAGTCTATAAATTTTTTTTCTTCTATTTTTTATCTGTTTAAAGTTTAAAACTACTCTTTTTTTATTAATCAAAATTATAATACATCATTTAAATTTTTGGGTGGCGTATATGAAAGTGCTTTCTCAGCTTTGTGCAAGAAAAAACAAGTGGAGAGCTTAAGGACATTTCCAATGAAAACAACTCATTTAAGTTGTTTCATGCATTGAAAAATGAAAAAAGTGGTTCTCAATGTGCCATGTCAGCATTAAGCAACAAACAAAAATTTACTCCAATGATAAGAAACTTTAAGAAATTCAATTTTTAGAATTTTTTTTCAAATTATTTATGAACCAAATTTAAATTTTTATTAAAAAAGACAATTGCACTACAATAAAAGAATAAATTATGAGAAAAAATATACAATAAGTAGATATTAAAAATAAAATAAAACAATAGTAAATACATAAACGTTTTTATTTATTTTTTATTTTCTTATTTTCTTTTTATTTTTTTTTATTTCTTATTTCTACTTGCTAGTCTCTTTTTCTTCTTCTGAGAGTTTTTATCCTTTTTCTTCACGGTTCCTTTTCTTCAACTCCTCCTTCAAACTCTTTCTGCCGCCGCCGCGCGCTAGGTCCAGGTCGAGGCTCTGTGTCGCAGCAAGCCAGGTCTCGCGACAGAACGTCCACTGCCGTTGACGATGGCGTCATCGGCTCCAGCTTCAATCACGCGCCTCAGCCGTCCAACCACCACCGCGTCTCCTTCCGTTCACAAAGGTAAGGAACAGTTGCTTCACTAAGCAACCCTCTCTCTTCTACAAGAAACTCTTGCTGCCACGTCATACCCCTCCAATGGTAAGTAACTGAGGTTGGGGTTGCTTGATAGGCCAATTGGAGTTGCTCTAATGGTTACAAGAGTACAAAATTCGGAACAAAACTTGGCTATATCCGCACAAACAGGACATCGCAAGAGCGAGCGAGCTATAATATATAATGTATGTGTGTGCCTTAGCTTGGCTCTCGTATTTGGCCTTCAGAGCTCGCTGCAGCCATAGCACCTGGATCAGGAACTGTCGAAAGGATCTCTCCAGATACACATATGTTGAACGCCCAGCTTGCATCACATCCACTAACAAGCAATAAAAACATGCAACTCATTTTCTCATAATTTTCCCTTTCTCATACAGTAAATGTCTACAGTTGACTGAGCTCCAGCTAATGCAGCTTCAGAGGAGAGTACAAATGCGGCACAAGCATCATGACCAGAATTTGGTTTCTGTAAAGTCAAATCATTGTAAGAAACAGTAAATAAGGTCATAAAAATAATGAAGGGAAATGAAGAGGTGTTACCTCTTCAAGAACCGATGATGCTGGAATAAGGGCATCTAACAATTTTCTATAACCAGCACTAGCGCCCCCCCCCCCCCCCCCCCCCCCCATATTTACTTACAGCAGCGATGGAAGCTGCAAGTGCTTCAGCCCCTGAATCAACAAAAGACTCATGAGGGATGGACAGTCCAACCAAAATGGATCAAAAGGAAATTGTAAAGTTCTAGTTAAATGTTGCTTGATTTGGAGAATGCTCTCACATTGTTTTGATATGATACCAGCATGCGAGCTCGCTTTCAGATGTGAATATGTTGCCTTAAATATTGTATATCTGGAAAAAATCAGTTAGTGACAATAATCAGAAAGCATAAATGATTTAACTTTAAAGGAGGCATAGGAATGGAAAATACATGATCCCACTTGTTCCTCCCATAGATCTTCCAATTGATGAACCAATTTTACCGACAGTCTCTGCAGCATCATTTAGGGGGTAACTGCAAATAAATAATAGCAGTTTAGGTCAAACTGTTATCACAATCTAAATTGACAACAATTTTGCAGCAACCACCTTTTTAGTTCCTCAAGGGCATAAACTCTTATAATGCAAAAAAGAAATACATATATAAATAATCCATTAATCAAATAAATGGGCAAATAACTGGTCACACACGGATTCAGCATATTGGAAATAATATTAGATCTAAACAATAAAAACAAAGTTATATAGAAGGCTAAGCTCTGCAGAGCATAAACTTACTTTTTGATGTCCTCGAATTGCTTTTGCACCTCTATACATTTGCAGAAAGAAACCAGACACCAAATAACACACATTATACATTGACAAATAAAAATAAACAAGTAAACATTTGAGGATAGGACTCAAAGTTGATCCACAGTCACCATCACCAACTTTACCATCCCATTCATTTAGATCGTCCTTAAGATTTATAATTGCATTTGCAGCAGCTTCAAAAAGCTACCTCAAGAATTTGGCCTGGCTAATTTAGTTGTAGTGACTGACTTCGTGGCCTACACAAAGCAAATATGGAAACCATATTTCACAAATTAACAATTTCTTGTTATACAAACAACTGTTATTCACACTCAAATCTTTGTTTTGTACTGATTGTATGACTAGCAGGGGGTTCATTTATAGAAGACAATTGGATTGAACTAATGCAGACAACTAAAAGTCACAATAAAATCATTTAAACTAAGAATTTGATTGCATGGTAGTAAAGTAGTCTTGATTCTTGACAATTTTTTTAATGCTTAGTGCAATAAATAACATTAATACAAAATTGGTTGTTGA